AAAATGATATAATCGTCCAAATGTGTATTTTTAAATAACAATATTATTTTGTGTAAAACAATATTTTGGTGTAAAAAACATTGCAGAGTACAGGGGAAGGGGTGACATAGAAATGCCACAATTGGGACTGACGCAGGGCCCCTGATAGTAGTCAATCCTCTATTTTCTATCCACGAAACCCTCGCCGATCGTTATCATATCAAGAGATCTGGCAAGAACCCATCGAGAGATCTCCCTCCCTTTACCCGTCAAAAACGGTTTGCCGAATGGCCCCTGTTTGCCAGCCATGCCTTTTCCTATTTTCTTGTTTTCCAATGGAGTTTAATCAGAAACTTAGCTATCTTCGAAAAGTGTCTTAGTTGCTCATCTACGCTTATTACAAGCTTTGAAGAACAAGCTCTCTACTAAGGCCGACACATGCTCAAAGAACAACGTACCGATACGTGCGACCGGTTGCGCAATGCGTAACGGCACGTAGTCCCGGGAACGGTCCGCCATTCCCCCCGATGGCTGGTCACCCTAAAAGGCGCCTTCTCTTATCCGATGCCGCCATCTATCCCTCTCCCTCTCTCCTCTCTCTCTCTCTCTCTCTCTCTCTCTCTCTCTCTCTCTCTCTCTCTCTCTCGCGCGCTCGCTCTCTCTCTCTCTCTCTCACTCTTTCTATCTTTTTCTTCTTTTCCTCCCGGTTCGACGCGGTTTTCCGGTTGCCAACCAGCCGACCACCGCCACCTTCCGGGTTCTTGTTATTATTTTGGTGGACGGCTAGGGTGCTGATTTTTGACGCTGTATTGATGCGGTACAAACCGCTGACAAACATTTTTGAACATCAGAATTTTGGTCAAAAGCCCCTGCGAGGCTCCACAGTACCTCTCATAAAGTGCCCCGTTTAGCGTTCCGAACATGTTGGTCTGTTGACATTGTGGACGAAAGGGGAGGCGCCCTCCGTCGACAAGTACAACCATTTCCCCAAACGTTCCTCTCCGTTCCCTATAGTGTCATTTTGCAGCGGTCCCCAGTTTGTTTGCGCGTCTCAGCGGCTAAGACATTTTGTTCACCTGTAGCCGCGTTGAACCCCTCCCCCGCAGCCGTGTTTTAATAAGGGGCCAAAAATTGAGAATGAAGGTTTTGGGACAGAGAGGAGCGCAGTTTAACGTTCTGTGCGGTGCTTTTACGGCGATTCTAGTTATGTCACGTGGTTTTCCCTTGAGTACATTTTTTATCCTGGTGCGGAAGCCAATTTTCTCACCTACCTGTTGATGCTAATATATAGTGTATTTTGCTATTTTTTAGTAGTTTTTGATCGATCGAAAGTTACAACAATATCCAAAAAAAACTTTTGGTCTTTTGGTCGTTTTCCTAAATTTTTGAATTAATTTTTGTATACTTTTAGCTGCCAAACATTGTAAAATGCTAAAAAAATGTTTCTATTTCGTTATAGGGTCGTGCGACGTTATTGCGGAGACATTGACGGCCAGCTAAAACCACTTCCCCCGCTAACAGTCCAGCACCGTGACTTCTAACGGGTACCCTTGCTTTCTGTAAGAGGACAAGAAGCCTATTATTGACATGTTTTGGCCAAAACGGCGCGTTTTGTATTTTTGACACCTACAAACTGGTTAAAACGACCCTGTTCTCGTACGTATGTATGTAGATAGGTGTTGATGGGAATGAATGGAGTATGGAATGGAGTATGGAATAGGTCAAGGGAGGGGAAGGGGGTCTAGATGGAGATGGGGCGGATGAAAGGTCGAGAGTCAGGGCTATGTGCAAGGAAGGAGCGATTGTTTGCCTATGGACTCTCCCCATCCACTGGCCTTGCCACAGGACGTGTATGTACCCTTCTTTGCCCCCTTTCCACCACAATCCTCACCAAAACCCATCGGTACTAGTCTGTTAGCCGGGGAAAGGGTTTCTAACGGGGAACTCGATTTTCGTAGGCGCGTATGGCCCCTAATAACGAAATCTAACCCACTTCAAAGTCTTTGAACTGTTTCTTGATAGGGAAAGCGCATAAAAAGTATGGAAAATTTCGAATTTTTGGTCAAATATGTATGAAAAACATTTTTAAAGTAGTTTTCTTAATTTCCTATCAATCAAAAATTACTATGAAAATACACTTTAATTAGTAACTTGTAAGTATAGTTGTACGAGAAAGACTAACTCCACCCCTACCCCGCTAACAGTCCAATACCTCCCGACGCCCAAAACCAACATTCATTTTGACCTGTGGGGCGTCGAAATTGCGGCTGCTTCTGCTCTGGCGATGCTCCTCCGTTTTTCGATCCTTATATCGACCTCTAATTGACCTGTCATAATCCCGACGGGTCAGCGCTGCTATCCATATTGGCGCCAGAGTACCGCCGAACCACCCCCGCTATACCACCATAGCCCCAAAATTTAATTTGTTCGCACCGCCGGGGCGCGGAAGGGCTCTCGCGCTCAGGCGTGTACGAACCTTTGCAAAGGACAGACTACGCTGAAAGCCGGTTCCAGACGGCCGTCCAGGAAGTTGATCCACAGCCCCGATGCCCATTTTCTGCCCCCCGCTCAACCCTTTCCACCGGGTCGGGTCGCCCAGGCGGACATTTTGCACTCGCCGCGGTACTGGACTGTTAGCGGGGGGGACTAATTCTTTCTTGATAATATCTCACGGCCCTATGACGAAACGTGAATCATTTGTGTAGTTTTTAAAAAGTTCCGAAAATTAAAAACGATTTATTTCCTCGATGCTGATTTTTTTGCGGCTTAGGACATTTAATTCTTTGGACTTTGCTGGCTTTGTTTTCCATGGTAGTACTATCCTGTCCATGTATCAGTGTAATGCCGCGCAGTACCACCGGTTAGAAAAATGGCTGTAGGAAACTAGAAAACAGCGCGACCAACATGGCTGATCTAGTTTACTAGGTGACCATATATGGGTCTTTTCCGCTTCGTTCAGACTTTGAAAATCAATGGTCTGGTTGGAAAGGGGGAGGCGGTCTGTGTCCCCCGGCCGATCGGTGATAAATCTGTCTCGCTCTCTCCCTCGCACTCTGTCCCTCTCTCTCACTCCCTGTCACTGCCTCCCTTTCCTCTCGATACCGCAACGCTGCATGTAACATACCGCTCTCTTATTGCCCCCATTCTCTCGGCCCTTTTTCCCTGCATGATGCTCTTTTACGTTCCCGCATTCCGACAAGTTCGCCTGCTCTTTTCATTTTCTTAAACTTCAAAAATTATCTTGACTTTTCGCTCCCTCACAAAAACGCCCATTCCTTTTCAGTGATGAACATGAACGTGGGCGGCCCGGGCCACCCATTGACTCTTCTTGGTGCCCAGTTCCGAGCCCCACCTCCACTTCCGCTTCCTCGGCCAGCCGGCAAGTTCTTCATTTTGTGTCCCGGCTACCGTATCCACGGGTTTGCCGTTGGCCCCTCCTGCTCCCCTTGTCCTCTCTTCCCTCCAGCCGCTTCATCCACTACCCGTCTCTCTAAATGAGACGGCTCCTTCGAGGCTCCATCAACCGGGCGTATCCACGGAAGCGCCTGTTTTACAGGTCAGTTAAACCTAAAAATGCGCTTTGTTTTTTGTACGTTAAAGATGTGATTCCATAGCCATGAAAAAAAACCGAAAATCCTTCAGCTCTGAACAACACAGAACTAAATATATTTTTCCCCAGTTCGTCTTGGCAGCAGTTACTTTGCAGGCAATCTCGGGTCCTTTGCTAGCAGCCAAAGTGACGCCATCTGTTTCCGTGTCGTCATCAACGTCTTCTTCGACCACCACCGTTCCATCGACCCCTTCACAATCCGCGGAAGGCCAACCCCTGGATGGTGCCGATGTAAAATGCCTTGTCTGTGGTGATTCGAATGCCCAGAATCACTATGGCACCGTTTGTTGCCCGTCAGTTTTATAAGCACTTTCTACCCTTCTACTACTAACCTTTATCCTTATCGTTTTTAGGAGTTGCAAAGGCTTTTCCGGCGCTCCTTCCTGGCATCCAAGAATCTGGAGTGCTATCGGGGCAATTGCTGCGTGATTACGAAAGGTAAACTCTTGCCCGAAAATAATTATTTATATTTTAGGCACGCGCAACAATTGCCGTGCGTGTCGATACAAGAAATGTCTGAATGCTGGCATGAACCCTAACGGTAAATCAAAACGCCTTGCCAGCAATGTCCCAATTTAGAAATCAGGCATAAACAGGATGGGAGTGATGAAAGGAGCAGCTCTCCCATGGAAATCAAAGTTTTGGCGAACAGAGCGATTCTTCTTCCCAGCCAGCAAATATTGTTGCACTGCCGCAAGTGGTAAAGGGAATTATTCTTTCTGATAATCGTCTCAATTTAGATCGGCGTCCCTTCTGTTGACCCGCTATTCATGAATGCCGAAGAGGCGAAACTTCTTGCCAGTTTTTACGTGAATCTTGAACGGTTAGGAGCGTTTGTGGTATTTAAATCCTACCTTTGCAGCTACTGCGACAACTCGGTTTTTAATGGGAATGAGATTTGTTTGCAAGAAGAAGAATTTCTCATCAACCAGATGTTGGACGCCTCTGTCGAGGACCTGTTGATGAAACGCCGACCGCAATGCCCACGATTTCCCGTAAGTCAAAACCATAGGCCATTTAGATACGATCATAAATGATTGATTATCAACAAGGTAACAAGAAAATTGTTTCTTACAGATAATCTGGAAACCGCATCAGATGGTCAGCGGCAAAACGTTCAAGCGAATTTACGCAAGGCTCGTCGTCTTTTTTCTGCGACTGGGTCAACCATATACCTCTCTTCAAGAGTCTCTGCGTTTCCGACAAGGTGAGTTAGTAGTTAGGTTAGCTTACTTGCGAAACATGAAATTGGGCCCGCAAGACTTCCGAACGAGTAACGTTTTCAGGTGCAACTGTTCATCGCGCGACTCACCCAGGTGCTGCTATTGAACATGTGCTATCGTACCTACAAGGAAGGCTGTGGCGGTCTTCTGCTCGGCACTGGCTCCGTATTCCCATTTGACAAGGCCCTACGCAGCCAGATTGAGGATGATCAGTGAGTACAGACCTTATACTTTTACTAGTAGATCTCCACCCCCTAAAAACCCCATTTTAGAATCCGGAACATGCTATCTCAGGTTGTGGATTCCGTATTTGCTGACGTCATATTCCCGATGAAAGACCTCGATATTAATGAGGACGAATATTGTATGCTCAAGGCGACACTTTTCCTATTTGAAGGTAGGCGCCAACCGAATTTCACGCTTCTACCTGGCCTGGAAGGAATCTAGCTTCAACCCGATATTTTCAGGCTTTCCCTTCAATCAGTTGACCGATCATGGGAAAGAAGTGCTGGTGAGGGAGAAGCAGCGACATAAGATGAGCCAATAATCCAAAAACCAAGACAAATCAATCTCAGGCTGCCCTCGTCGCGCTAATTCTTCAAAAGAAGGAAGCTAACCCGGCCATTGATCACCTGTTTAAGCTAATCCAGGTCGAGCATCTCACCACCACAATTGAGGTCAGTCTGGAATAGTTTGCGAGTTTTTACAACCAAAGGGATTTCAAGAAACAGTCAGTCACCCCTCTTTCAGGCCGTCTCCAACTATATCGACAAAGAATTTGGGTTGATGAACCTGTTTTCTTTATCGGGGATGCGCGGCAACCTTGTCCACGAGTGCCATGTCATGAAATATGCATTTTGTTGATCTAACCCAATGTATCACACAAATGATAACATTTATTTCGTCTAAAAGAGACGGAATCATTAGCTTGGGTCCCAAACAATTCTTGATTTGTATGTGCACAGCCGATCCATGATCTCTTCTCACCTCGCGTATTAGATAAAGTGTTTTTTGCTTGTGTGGAATATGGCTGGTTGTGTTTTATTTCGAATGCCATAACCAACTCACCGGCCCTATTCGCCCTCTCCATTTTAGGTATTTTCACCTTGACCAAGTATCCATCACCCTCCTTCAAGCATTCGAATTCCTAGTGCTCTGTGATTCGACCAAACCATATATCCACCGTTTATTGTGATAAGCAGTTGTGACGACCCGCAATGATAAAAACTAACAGAACGAAGCTCCGGATTCAATCATCGCCAAGTGGGGTAAACTTTTCAGGGTTTTCGTGCTGCGGTCCGTTGCTGGATTTCGGCTCGTTGACAACGGACTTCTTGTTTCGACCCCATGTTGCGCTGAAGAAATGGGAAATCTACGGATGCGCAAAACTTACTGTCGGGACAACCAGTTTCGGAGACGTCCACATTGGTCGTTTAAACTTTTGCGCTTAGCGCTTCCGGGGGCATTCTGGAAAGGTTGTGAGTCGACTGATGCTCTATTATCCTACCTCTTTATCCAAAAATCCGGAATCTGTGGAGTTGCCAGCAGTGCCAAAGCCCGTTTCAATGCCGTCAAATGCCTTTTGGTCTTTCATTTCCTCATCATATTCGGATATCACGGCATCAATTGTTTCGCCAATCGGCCCTTCGCGCGACTCACCCTAAAAAGTATTTTCCCCTCGAGTCGCGATATCCTTATGGTGTTAAATTGGTCCTCTAACATATTTTCGACAACTCGTTAAATATACTTACCCCCAATGCGCTTTCAATAAGCTGATCAATCACGGTATTGTTCATTTCGGGTTGCCTACAAAAATAGAATATAAACGGGGAATTCTGGTAATGCGTAAGGGCTGATTGGCAAGCAAAAAATGGGAAATGCGGGGCACTGACACGCATCTTGATCAAGGGGCGAGATTTTGGCGCCAAGGGCTCGCCATCTGTCCCAACACAATGAGACTTTGGTGCATAGAGCCATGTCGTGTTGAAGATACATTTTATCAAAGTACAGCCAAAAGTGATAACGTTATGCCAAAATCAAAATTCACACAACGTTTAGGGTTAAAGCAACGTCACGCCTTAGAAAATTACCGTAATTAATATGGGTCGGCACTGGGTCACAGTTAGAGGTAATCAATGGAAAAACGGAGAAAGCAGATCTAGGGAGACTTTTCAAATCATAGATAACTTCTTTCTCCGACGATTTTGTTCCTCGCATTGGACGCGTAGTATCGATGCGAATTCAGTTCTGAACATAGATGCATATACAGACAAAGAGTATAAAAACCTTCCCAACATTTCATAAGCCTTTCCCAAGATGACTGATGCAGCCTTGTCTAGCCGTGGAGCGTTGCAAAGGAATAGATCGTGCCCGAATTCTAGCCCCATGCCAAAGTCCATCTCATCGTCCGCCATCTGAAAACAGAACTATGGAAACGCTGTTCGAAACCCACTTGGATATATGCTCCATATTGTCGTACGAAATCCATAAGTCTCTCCTGGTCGTCTTCATCCTTTTCATTAGCTATGGCCAGCAATTGCTTCTTTACCTTTGCTTAAAACGGAATTTGTGTTAATAAGAGACAATAGATACGGATTGAATCGGTCAAAGGTCTATAGCCGACATTATCTCGCATCGGTACGGACAGACGCGGACCATCTGAGCCATGGATAGGGCTTCCGATCTAAACGAACGGTTAATCTCGGTCCATAAGGATCTACACTTTTCTTCCTTCGAGCCGCTCGAACCTTCGCCATCTGCTTATTCAGGCCTTCAACCGTAAACCCCGCTGGCAAGTCCGCATTCCTGAACCAGCATGTCTGATTTCTTGAACGGACCCACTTCGCCCCGAGGTGGACAAGCATGTTCATTGGATGATCTCCGATAACGGTAAGTGCCGGAAAGTGATCAGTTCCATCGCCTGCCACTGCCAAGATCAAACAATCGGTCGAATTAGGTTCATCTCTGCAAATTATCGAAATTCATAATTAACGTATATGTAAAAACCTCCAAAGACAGAAGCGACCTTTGTCATACACGGCACACGTCTGCATTTCGGGAAGATCATTCGGAAATCGCCAATGCAGTCTCAACTGATCATCTGAAAAAGTTTGAAATTACCTCCGATAAGCCGATACCTGATAGCTCTCTCAGATCGCCATTCAATAACTCGAAGGGTCCGACTAGACGAAGTTTGGAGAAACGCTTGAATGCTTCTATAACACGGTGGATTGCCTAGGGACATGCTTTACCCAGAGGCGCTGAGATATTCTGTTTCTGCGCAAATTCGAAGAAAGCTTGCAAGGCGCTGGGTGCCGTATGAAGTCCGGAACGCCTCTTCGGCGGTGGCTAATAAAAGCAATTTCAGATAAAATGATAAATTAACCGTTTGGATGGAATTGTTCTCTTTCGTGTCGGAGGCGGGTCGTTTACGGGAGTTACCGAAGCCGTATGCCATCAATCCCTAGAAAAATCCTGTTACAGCCGAAAATCTATACTTTTTTTAGAGGTGGACGGTTCCGGAGCGCCCTTCGCTGTGTTTTTTAGTATGAAATTCAGCTATGTGCTCCGCATTCTTCCCTGTAGCACTTGCTCCCGAATTCACAAGTTTTCGGCATCTAAAGTCTGCATGAAAAGCCGTGCTGCTCCAAATAGCGAGGCCGTTACGAGGCTTCCTCAAAACTGGCAGCGAGAACCGTGTACTTTATCAAACAGGAACAAAAAAACAATCACAAGCAGTTAAAATCCTAACTAGTCTAGTAATATCCTTCTTTATGCTTTGGCATTTTGAATGGCATCAATATCTTTCGGCTTAGGGTCGAAGGGCGATGGTAGTTTCAAGTTGGTCTTTGCCTAAAAGCAATGAGCTAACCGGTGGAAAAAATGATACCTCGAAGAAGGTATAGGACAGCATAATGTTGTCCAGGTATTCGAGATTCGGATCATTTGCGTAGTCCGGATCAATGTAGAAGAAAACAGGCAGATCAACCTAAAATCGATTAACCGCGCAAATTCGTTAGCGGACCTGTTCCCCGGGGTTCAAAATCTGTTCCTCAAAGCAGAAACACTGGATTTTGTTGAAGTAATAAGCGGCCTAAAGGATCTTATAATCAAAGTCTAAAAATACCTGAAAAGGAACCAAATTATAGCTAGAAATTCCGATAATTGGCTTGTCGGTCGGGTTGCGAGCAGAAAAGAAGGCCAGTGCTGTTTCCCAGGATGCACGTAGATCTAAACCATTTTATTGCCATAATTCCGTTCTCACCTCGTCTTGGACCGGCCTGAATTCCCAACGCATGCTGCTCGGGACGTCAGAGTTGAATTGAACGCGAATCAATCGATCTTCCACTTTCTGCATCGTGGCGATTTTCTCAAAATCCTTCGCTATCTAAAAACACTGTCAATCAAACATAAAAAGACCCGCCTGCGTTAACCCTGCAAAGCCAGTTTGTTCACAAAACATCCGATATAGTGGAATGGCGGCAAAAGTAGCACCGATAGCAATCACTAAAAACGGCAATACCTACCTAAAGAAAACCTGAATCTGATACCTCCCAGGGACATTCCATAGTAAAGCACATCTCGTGATCCTTTTGAAGGATCTTCTCTCTGAATCGTGCTTTATATAAATAGTGAGAATCCAGTACCTTGTGTATTAATCGGAACTGCTCCTTATGATGCTTGGCTTGCGGTCGTAACTTTGTAAGCGTCAATATTTTTGATGTTGAAGGATTGCTGAATCCAGAGCATAGCCGAGACAACATCTAAAACCCAAAAGTGACTACACGTACCTACATAGGATAGTTTACGATACTTACTCGGCGCGAACCGAACAAAAAACGTCAGCATATTTCAAGAAACTTTATGAAACAACTTCCTAGCGATCAACAAAGCAGAGATATCACAGTCACAAGAGAACCAGCTTAGTCAAATCATCATGGAGCAACCAACGAGCGTAACCGGATTTTCGATGGTTTCCGTATATGCTGACAACAGCAATCGATGAAATCAGTGCCTTCTATGGCTCTGTAAGTTTGCTGGAGCCCTGTTCAGCTTCTTCTTTGGCTTTGCGCAGTCGGCCCGGTCGGTAGATTTCGCGCTCCACTCGTGGTTTTCTCTCGGGCTTCTTTTCTACCGGTGCCTTGACAGGTGCTTCCCTAAAATTAGCTCAGGATTGAGGGTCACTCATAGCACTATCCAATAGTAAAAATGAAAACGAAAAACAAACCTTTCAGGCACCCGCGGGCGCTGTACTTCCTTTTCCGCCTCCTCAGGTTTTGATTTCGGCTCCGGCACGCGATCAGGATGACCCGTCGTTGGCTTGGCACTGGTGGAAGGCCGAAGTGTTAGGAGTCTTATAGGGTGGCTTCTCAGCGCGGGGTTTCTAAAACCGAGCGTTACCAACGTGATAAGTGATCACCTCGGTGGTCGTCTGTTTTGGTTTCGGCGCTTCCTTCGGGACCTTAGGTTTAAACTTGTCCTTTACAGGCTTGGGAGCAGATGCTTTAGGTCCGCTCTTGACAAACTCGAGCAGTTCTTTTCCCTTGGCTTTGCCTGTAGGCGCCTTGTCTTCCGGGGTAGCGTCAAAATCCTGAATTGAATGAAATTGTAACGATTCATGTGCGCAATTCCCACAATTGTCACATTCTCCCGACGAGCTTTACGGTCAGCCGCTACTCGTTTCCTCCGGAGCTCTTCCTTTTGAACTTTTGTAAGTGCTGATCCAGCATATATTTGGTCAGGGGTGTCATCTCATTCGTAGTCCGCCTTGCATTCCGCTCTTCAATAAGTTTCAATTGTTGGTCAACCTACAACGATCGAAATAAAGTTAAAGTGCATATACCGTCAATTGAGGCGATATTTCCTCTAGCTTCGCCACAAAAATTTTATATTCTTTGGAGTCAATGACTTTGCCTAGCTCTGGGTCTTTTGCTGCCCTAAAAGGTTAATCGCGGAAGCCAATAAAAAACATATGCGTCTCCGACCGAGCTCTTCGGAATAACATTGTTAGGCGATAATTCCGCGGTGACCGCGCTTGCCGAGCTCCCTTCAAAGTCGACGAAAACAAGCCTAAGCCATAATACAAACCAGGAAATAAACAATACCCGTTGAATCGATCCGCAAAACTCAGTGCGTCCTCCTCCTTCGCAAACGCGACGACAAAGAAAGGTCGTGTACGATAATCAGAAATGGGTTCGGCGTACTAAAATATGTTGTTTCCTTCCAAGAGAAATGCATACCTAAAATAGCTGTAAAGCGGTTCTTCCGGAATATTCGCCAAGTTGTTCCTTCAATGCTGCTTCATCAATTTTATATGGGAGGCCTCGCAATACGAGCTAATACTGATTTGTTAGGACAATGGAAGGATTCACCTTAATTCGGAGACCGCCGTCTCCTTTGACATCCTAAAAAATGTGGCCGTATATACAATTTTAGAGGTAATCCGCTAAAACGTTCGTCAGGATTGGGATCAAATTTTTCGAGACTTTATTTGCTTTCGACTGTTGTCTTTTTAATCTTTCGTTTCTCAATCGGCGCGTTGGGATTTTCCAAATCGTAAAATTTCTTCAAGAGCTCAATCGAGCGTTCGGGTGCAACCAGAGGTTTAATCTAAAAAAAATTTAGAAAGTAACGGTGAGTCACCACCTCGATCTCATGCTGACTCTGGTACTTCCGCCTCCGCCCACGCTTGTCGACGCCACCGAATCGCTGATTAGCCGCCCCGTATACAATCCTCTAGAAATCAAGGTTTGCAGCTGAATAAGCCAAACCTTTATTTTCAATTCGTACATAGCCGCCGCACACATAATACTAAGGGCTCCAACTGTAACAAAGAGTTCCATTTCTTCCGCCATCTAAGCTAAAGTACACCATGGTCTTCGTAAAGTTAATTTACAGCTTTGAAGTCGGGCCTATTTCGTAACCTCCGTATTGCCACCATTTCTGCATGAGCGGTCGGATCGCCGGTAAGATTGACTTCATTTCGCCCCCTTGCAACCTAATCGTGACGTCAAAATGCCATCTACTAACTTCCTGTCCATTGATTACGGATACGCAGCCGACAGGCACTTCATCGTTGACCAAAGCTTCTTCTGCCAAGCGGAATGCCTCATCCATGAAGTATGTCTCTTTTTCATCGCAATTCAGCATTGCCATTACTAAGAACCATTTGTTCACGACACTATTTTATACAGTTGTTCAATATAACCATGCTCCAAACTCCAAAGTGGGCCAAACGAAGAGCAAAAAAACTTTATCGAAGCCATCATAATCATCATCATCATCAACATAAAACAACATTCAAGCACTTAGGCGTACATATTTTGATCCATAGAGCCAGCGACAATGGAGTGGTCGATAATCTTCCTGATGGCCGACGAAAATTCGTGAAGAATCCCCAACTCCAGCTCTTCCTCCGTTTCAACGAGGTTCTCCTAAACAGGGATAGTGGCAAAACCTCAATACTAACCAGCTCATCAGATTGCGCAATTAGACAGGTGCTCGTGGCTTCAATAACTTCATCCCGCAAATAGAACCACGGCCTCGTCTTTGGGTCTTTTTTCTCTTCTAAATACGAGAATTCAAAAAGAGCGGTCGGTACATACCTGTATCAGAGTCATCGTCCGAGGGCTGTGCGGGTTGATCAAGCCCTAATGCAGGCCCTGACGTCAGCAACGAGGAATTTGCTCTGCCAGATTCTCTCGGCGTTTGCTATAGAAAAATATATGAAGTGAAAGGAAACATACCAGATGCGTTTTTGCCATTCTGTCAGTCTCTGTATTTCGACAGCACACACATTTGCACCGATCAGTACAAGGTACTTTCGCCTAAATTCGAATGAACAAAATTGTCTGTGACTGTACCTCATAGCATTCGCAATAGTTTTTTAGACAGCCGGATTTCTTGCAGTGACATCCTTTCTGATGTAACCGCTCGGCGTCAGACTTCCCTCTCACGGCTTAAAAAAAGGCTAATTTGTGGCGAATGGCCCTACCGATTTTGGGTTGAAACGCGTGTGGATTCTTTTCCAACGAC